GGCTTTGAAACCTTTGGCCACATAATAACATCTATTAGTGATACTCAGTGTAAAGAAGAAGGATGATGCGAACCCCGACCATACCTAGCGCCTACGCTGAAGGCTTCACATCTCTACTCTGCGACTGTTTACATGTAATCTTTCTGAATTGTTATTTGTAAAATAAGACGTTTTAAGAAAAAAGGAAAGCCCTAGTCAATGCCAAAGACTGAATCTACCACCCTAATGGCAACTGCTCATTTTCTAAGCACTCTAAAGGATAAAATTGTCTATAAAATCAAGTCCAATATGTGAAGAACCTGACATGTGTTGATACAGGTTTAATCTACAAGGGGCAAACACTGTCCAAAGCAACGCCGACTCAGATTGCAGTCCAGGTAAATCTCCATTACTAGGTGTTTTAAGCCCCTGGAAAGCAATCGCAGCTGAGTGCCTTCAGCTGTGGGAACCAGACATTGCAGCATGCCATCCCCTATGCTGTTATAAAAGATGCATTACTGAGAAAACAGAAAAAGATAAACTTCTTTAGGAAATATTTTGTCTTTGATCTCCGAAAACAGTAGTGGTAACCAGTGAACAGAGTACAAAAGCTAAACAAGCACTTGATATCATCACTTAAGTTCACACGCACTTGCTAAAGCGCCACCTTGTTAATGTCCAAGGTACTGGCCCAGTTCTTCAACCTCATCACCGGACTGATGAAGCTGAGAATCTGGCTCCAAAATAGCAGTAAGACACTTTGGACCTATTCATCTTCAGTTTTATGTCAATATAACACCACAAAGAGCTGTGGTATTACACACAAAGTGTAGTAAGGCAGTATTAATTCAGGCATTTGGGGGAAAAACCCGCAAGAACAGTACAGAAGGTGCTGACCCCTCTCCCAGCCACGCTGTCTGGAGTTACAGAGCAGGCAGTGCTCTGCTCCGTTTGTGCGGGATACTGAAAATTTGTCATCTGAACTTCTAGGTCCAAATATTGTGAAAGGGCGCAATCCAAACTTATGCCATTACTTAAGCAATTTCACTGGCTTTAAGGTCAGAAAGATGCCTTTATTCAATCTATCTCCCCACAGAACACACAGATTTTCAGCCAGAAATTAATAAAATGAGAGAATGGCAGGAAGAGCTAGAATGTATCTTTGAGCTTGTCCACAAGATGTTTTGAATTTTAATTATATTTGAAAATGAAAGCTTTCCTCCATTGCTAGATATCTAAGTAGCCACATGTGAATGCCAGAGGAGAGTACTTGAGTGCTACTTTGTGCTGTTCTGGTTACAACGATCCCTGAATCCACGGGGGAAAAAACTCTGCGTGGAAATTACTCTTTGGGTAAACGAACTCCTTTTTGAATGCAGATGGGATTCAGTCCAATACTTACACATATGTATTATTTTTAAGTGCATTACTTAAGTATATAAACTTACACACACATTTAAGTGTTCTGCTGGATCAGAGCCATAATGAATGGTTAATGCTACAAATTAATAAGCTATATTTTTTTAAAAAGAAACAAACTCAAGTGTTTGTAACTAATTTAGGGCCTTTCAAACTTACATTTCTAATACCGATGAGGAGATTTGTGCCCCTACTTCAGTTTGTGGACTTGTAGTTAGTCGCTGGGTGTCGTTGCTCCATGTGATCCCTGGCTGGTTAACTGCAGGTAGATGACGTAGGTTTACTACCGATAGCAGCCTGTGGGTGAGCTTTACCTTTTCTTTGTACTCACTACTATCTAACCTTTCGTGTTTGGGGGCAGAGAGGGAAGGTGTCAGAAATGACAAGGCAATGGATTTTATATTCTGTGGTCAGAGGATTTCACAGCAGGAAGACAGCACGGCCACCTTCACTGGGTGATAGATAATGCTCCTTTATTCTTCTTGTGAGTCGGTTTAGCACCACACGTCGATCCTGACTCCTGCTAGGGATGACACAATTGTCATTGCTTCCTTCAGCAATGACAAACTCAGAAAGCAGTGTTTGTTCAGCA